GGGGGGGGGGGGGGGCGCCGGCCGGCTCACGGCCTCGCTCGGATGGCACACGCCTGCGGCTGCCACGTGCGCGTGGCTGCTGAGCTGGCAAGCATCCCCTCGGTGCAGAGAGCACCTACGCGCCTCATCGCCTGGCCTCGTCACCACCCACCCGTGTATGTCAGGGCCACAAAGCATCCTGCTCACTTCGTTACCACCGCGGCCCCGAGCCCTCTTCCTTGCCCGATGCCCAGGTCCCTCGCTCAACACCCCACCCCACCCAGCTCCCAGTTTGCCCATTCTGTCCAACGCGCGCGCGCGCACACACACACACACACACACATAGAGAACACACACACACACACTCACACAAACCGCATGCAAAACGCACCACCTCTCCGACCCCCACCCCCCCCAAGGTGGTGCACCGTGATGTGAAGCTGGAGAACATCCTGCTGGGCGCCTCCAACGACATCAAGGTCATCGACTTCGGCCTGGCCGCCTTCTACGCACCCGGCAAGAAGCTGCGCGTGCACTGCGGCTCCCCCAGCTACGCGGCGCCGGAGATTGTGGCGCGGCGCCAGTACGAGGGGCCCCCCGTGGACGTGTGGAGCCTCGGGGTGGTGCTGTTTGCCACGCTGGCCGGCTTCCTGCCGTTCCACTCGCCGACAGGCAACAAGCAGGCGAGCTGATTGGGATTCCAGGGGCGCCAGGGGGCAGGGTATGTTAAGGGTGAGGAGTGGAAGGGGGCATTTCCTGACGGCTTTCATGGCAGAGCTGTGCCCCTGCCCCCTGATGCTGCATGATGACGGCTACAAAGCTCCCGGCAAATTCTGTGATCCGCTGCTCAACGCCACCAGCTGCCCAGACACCATCCTCTTGCTCTTGCTCTCCCTCGTCAGTCAGCTCCCCGCCCCACCTCTCATATCCTGCCCCTCCCTTCCCACTCGCCCACCCACCTCCCGACCCACCCGACCCCACCCGATCCCACCGAGCAGGAGCTGTGCCAGAAGATCATGGCTGGCGGCTACAACGCCCCGGACTGGCTGTCCCCCGGTTCCCGTGACCTGCTGTCCCGCATGCTGCTGGTGGACCCCGAGAAGCGCGCAACCTTCAGGGAGGTGGCCGCGCACCCCTGGACGCGCACCGCAGGGCCCGCGTGGGAGCGGCCGCTCAGCAGCGCTTTTGTGGTGCGGGTCGACCGGGACACGGGTGAGTCAAGGGGAGGGGGCACTTCTAGGGCGGGTGACTGGGCGGGTGTGCTGGGTTGAGGGGGGGGGGCGAGTGGTCATGGGTGCGGGGACCACGCGCAGGCTGCCAGCCACCCCGTTGTGGATGAGCCAGCAGTAGAGTGCTTGGTCCACCCTGGGAAACGCACGCGGACTCTGACACCCGGAAGAAACACACACTGCCATCCAAGGCTTTTGGACATTGACCGCCTCACCCACCCTCACCATCCCGGGCCCCCGACCACACCTTTCGTGTAACCTCTCCCCATCAGGCGCAGTGGCGGCCGACGAGGCGGTGCTGGCTGAGCTGGAGGGCCACGGCTACTCGCGGCCCGCCACGCTCCGCCACCTGGCCAACGGGGACGCCAACTACGCGGCAGCTTCCTACTACCTGCTGGCGGAGGCCCGCGCGGAGGCTGCGCGCAAGCTGGCACCCAAGCCGGCGTGGTCTTTCAGCACCCCAGTGCGCGGCGGCGGCGGTGGCAGTGCAGCCAAGCAAACAGCACCTCCTGCGGGGCCACAGCAGCAACAGCAGCAGCAGCAGCAGCAGCAGCAGCAGCAGCAGCAGCAGCAGCAGCAGCAGCAGCAGCAGCAGCAGTATCAGCAGCAACATCAAGGAGCAGGGCAGGCCGCCGCAAACGCGCGGCCGCCCAGCGCTGCGACGGCACAGCGGCCAGCAACGGCGTCCATGACCGTCGCGGTTGCGTGATGCAGGCCTGCGCGTAAAGTAGACAGTTCTTGTTGTGCTCATGTACTGCTCTTTGGAATGAACGGGGCGGCGGCAGCTGCCCGCAGAATTTGCCGCAGAGTTGAATTCAGATGGAAACGCACGTGATGTTCACAGAGCAGGCCCCCAAACCCTAGCCGCCGGCCACAAGAAGAGTGGTGGTGTCTCCTTTGCAGGATCACCCGCACACAACAGGCCACGACACCTGTCCTTCTCCTGACAACTCCCCATGCAGATTGCTTTGTTGAAGTGCCTGCCAAACGCAATTGCGCTGGCAGCCTGCGCACTGCGCCGTGAAATACCGGCTGCGAAATGTGCCACTGCCTTTACGGCAGGTGATTAGCAACAGGGTTGCGAGTGCCCACCAGCCCGTGCGTGCGGCTCACATCCAAGAGCAGACCAAACTGCGGTTTGCCCGCAACAGCGGGCCCCGCCTTTCACGCTTGTTTTTGCTGCCCCCTGCTGCTGCCATCCGTTGACTCGCGGCATGTGCCACAGACAGTCTATAGCACGTCACAGCCCGAGCGCGGCATGGCAGCTCAAATGCACCAACTTTACGTGTAACCACACCTCCATTGCGGCATCCCCTGCCGTAGGGCTGACGCAGCGCCAGGTGCGAATGGAGATGACAGGGTGCTGGGCCGGCCCAAGGGTAGCGATGATGATTGCAGCAAGGTTACCTGGCGGTCATGCACATTGCATGCTTCCAGGCGCGTGCACTAGCCTGCAGGCCACAGAAATCGCAAGTGCATGGACAAAGCCAGAAAGCGTGGATTGGGTTAAAAAAGATTGCTCGGCCCAAGTTGGGCAAAGCAGCTGCTCAGGTGCTGCAAAGCCATGGCCCCATGAACATACAGGCTGCAGGCAACAGGCTTTCACATCGATTTCGCCACGGAGCAGCTGCACCTATTCCGTCAGCACAGTACCAGCCCGCTGCTGCTGGCATCGGCACGCCCGACAACCTTCCGCACAGGTCAGCATTTTTCAACCTTGGGCTCGTCGGCAGCGCCCCGACCTTTCGCAGCATGCACTCACAATGTCGCTGTCATCCTGTTGGGTGCCATCAAAGCTGGGAAGGCTATGCCATATTCTCAACACTTACCGCACGGCACCCACACAGTGAAGTGGGTTAAAAGGTCGCCTTCATCGTGTTTTTGCGGCGGGATCCTACAAAACCCTGTCATGCTTTGCTGTATGCAACTCTGTTGTTTGCTGAAAGGTAGTGTGTTGCAAGGTGAATGTCTGATTATGCAAGGTGCTGGTGCACAAACGGCTGTCGCGCAGGCCATAAATGCAGCCCGCTAGTCAGGGTGGCACATACACACACCTACCTTTGTCAGCCATTGGTGGGTGTTGACGTAAATTTGCAGTTGCAAACTGAAGTCATTGGCCCGCAGCTGGCTCTAGTTACATGGGAGACAGTCGTTAGGCCCTCACATCATTCCCTATCAACCACAGAAATGCAGGGGCAACCGGCACATGAATGCGGGGGCGACTTCCTGGGCAACATCACTACACTTGCAGGATCACTATCTCAGCGTGATATGCATTGTGAGCTTCTCTCTTTCAACAGCGCTAGCTAGCAGTGCCAACCATAGCCTTCCTGACCGCGCCACTGCTTGAAATCTTGCTGGCGCAACAGTGCTGCGAGCCGTCGTACCGCTCCGCGCTTCAACCGATTACTGTAGTTGGCTGTTGCTATTGGCTCAGTCTGCGGTGCAGATGGTCCCACTGTTTTTGTAGCCCCTTGACCGTCAAGAGGGATGGCCACCATGTATCTTGTGCTTGAAATGCAGCAAAGATGACCAGCACACACAACGCACTGGCCAGCTTTGGCATGTGCTGACCCTGCACTGCAAGCTCTGTTTCATGGACACCCAGCGTCACTCGGGTGACTGTACCCTGCTGCAGTACAGTATCACCGGACAGAACGTAACAAGTTGATGTCGACATTGCAGTTCGAAAGGCTGTCACTTCTTCATCGAAGTTCATGCAGAGATCGATCATGGCATATTTTGAAGCGCAGCAGCTATGCAGAGTCCTGGCAGTCATACTTGGTGAGACATTGTGAAAGCCGCTCTGTGGCTAGGCCTGCGCTTGTCAACGTTTCGTGCTGCGTGATGCCCTGTGCCCAGTGTGACGCCACGGCGTCAGCGGTGGCGGCACAGGAGCCGGCAACCGCTGTACAGCAATCACAGGACTTGGTTGTGACAAAAGGAACATGCACAAAAACTGAGTGTCTACCCATCCATACCCCGTAGGCTGGTCTGCCGTGGGCTTCGCAGCCGCCGCCAACCCCTCTGTGCAGAAGTGCAGCACGCTGCCTAGCCCCCCGAGCACCTTCTTCCTCAACCTGACGCGCATGCACCCAGAGGACCGCACTTGGGTAGGCACCACCCTGCCATGCCTGCTGGTTGTGTGTGTCGCGGCCGCATGTGGCCCTGCATGCCCTGGCGGCGCAGCATGCGGCCCCAGCAACGCAGGCGCTGTGTCAACACCCGCCATTGCCGCGCCCACGCCGTCCTCACCCGGCCAACGACCGCCATGGCAACCCCGCCAAACCCACCTCAGACCTGGAACCCGTGGGACACGCCCCCTGCCACCAAGGCCACCGCGGAGCGCTTCACATGCCCTGACTTTGCGTTCACCCACCCGGGCACGGTCGCGGCGCCCGCGTTTGTGAAGGCGCTCCGGCTCGTGCGCTCCAAGGGGCCGCCCGCCGCGCGTGCATCGCTGGACGGCCTCCTGGCCTGGGCGGGGCCGGACCTCCCCCGGCCGCCCCGCGCCGCGGCGGTGGTGTTCTGCGCCTACAACCCCGCAAAGTGGGACGTGGAGCGCATGACACCCGCTTTGCTGCAGGTACAGGCGATCTCGCGCACGCGCGTATGCGCAGGGGGGGGGGCGTTTCAGAGGGCAGGCAGCGCGGCCAAGGGGACAGGGCGAGCGGCGTTGCCTTCACCACGACAAAGACGGCTTTCTGGCGTCCCGGGCCCCCCGCATGCTGCAGCCACGACCCAGTGTGCGCGGCTGAACCTCAACAGGCAACCTGCCATCGCGTGTGGGGCACACGCCTCACCGCAACCTCCCCCTGAAACCCACCAGGCGCGCGACCAGCTGTTTGCAGAGGCCAAGGCCGCGGCCGCCGCGGGTGCGGTGTGCCACGACGAGTTCTCGGCCGGCGACGCGCAGCGCTCCCTGAACCACACCCTGGCCTGGCTGGCTGTTGGTGACGAGGCGCACGCGGCCAAGGCCACTGACATACTGGACGCATGGTGGGGGGGTGCAGGGAGGGGAGGTGATGGCAGGGGCAGGGAGGGCCAGGGCAGGGGCAGGGCAAGGGGGGGGAGCGCAGAACAAGAGGCAGCGGTTGGGGCACGGGAGGAGAGGAGCTGTAATGGCTCCGCGTACACCCGACCCTCGGCTGTGTCCGGGAGCAGGTCAAAGGCATGGGTGACTGGATTCACCCTGCAGGGACAGGCGGCACGGCTACAGCCTCGAGGCTGATCGCGAGCAGCACTGTCACTCTTCATGGCCAGGGGTACACCGGCGAGCTGCGCTGTTGCGATGGGCGCGGCGCACTGCACGATGTGATGGGGGCCAAAGCGCGCAGCACATTCCTCTTGCCTCCCCCCATGCCCCGCTCCACTTGTCCCGCCGCAGGGCGACCAAGACGCGCTCCTTCGGCCCCCTCTACGCCAACGGCCCGCTGGAGGCCGCCTGGGGGCTGGCCCTGATGGCGCGCGCGGCGGAGCTGCTGAAGCGGGGCGGCGCCAGGGCCTGGACGCCGGCGGTGGAGCGGCGGTTCAGGGGCTTTGTTGAAACGCTGCTGCTGCCCAACCTGAGATACTACGATTCTGTAGGTGGTTTGAGCAGGGATGTACGCGCTGTGTTTGTGTGTGGGTTGTATGCATGGGGTGAGTGCACGCGCGCGTGCGTGTTTGCGCATGTCTTGGAGCTTGGGCAGCAGCAGCAGCAGCAGCAGCAGCAGCAGCAGCGGCAGCAGCAGCAGCAGCGGCAGCGGTGGCAGTGGCGGCGCCGGCGGCAGCAGTCCAAAGGAGCAGTCAACAGCATGAGAGCTTAAATGCATGTGCATAATCGTATGCGTGTGCATGCTCGGGTGCGCGTGTATGTGCGCGTGTTGTACCATCCAATCACCTTTGGTCACCACCACCAGTCGCCAACGCGCTATTGCACCATCGCCGCAGCAACCGTTGGTGTACACAGCGGGCAACGTGGCGGGCACCAACTGGGCAGGCACCATACTCGAGGCCAGGATCCAGTACGGTGGGGTACGACTGCACGGGGGCGGAGGGGGGGGAGAGGGGGAATGGTGGCCATAACTGTCATCCGCGTGCAGCGTGAGGGTGGAGCTGTCATGCCCTCTACAATGCATTTGCTTCGCAAAACCCTGTGCACCTCCGCCCTTCCTCTCCTCACGGCCGCGTGCCGCCCCCGCACACCACCTGTGCGT